CCCGACAGAGGGTAATGTCGCGTTGCAGCTCGACAGTGGCGTGTTCACTAGGACGCTACAGTTGGACGTGAGTGAAGAGAGAAGGAACTGTAAAGGATTTAACAGAATCAAAAACATTCCCGCGCTGTTCGTTGTTGCAGTCGACACGACGTTTCCGTTTCCGCATTGCAGTTGCACGGCTGCGTCTGCATAGAAAACGTTTACGATACGATGGTGTTTATAAATAGTTTACCAATTTGAACATAGCTTAATTAGTTTGAAAATAACTTACTCGGAAAGATAGGAGTGGCGGTGCCATTGGCGCCGATGTTGCCATCGGCAGTGCAAAAGACAGTTCCTTGGATTCTGGTAAGGCTAAGAAGACTGCCAATGGACCCAAGCTGAGCTTCCGCCACCATTAATGGAGCTCCCATGGCAGCAGCCATCACCAAGACAAACAATACTGATTTCAAACCCATTTTTCTGTGCTTCAAAATTTTCACTCCTTCGCTGCCATTAAATAGGCAGAGTAACCCATTTAAAATAATCGGTCTTATATTTTAGTTTTTAAATAATTAATTTTTCACGTCGTATATGATGTTTGAAGTACGTTAAAATGTTACAATTTTGTAGATGTTTTTTTAATGATTATACAACTTCGTTTTGTTTGTGAATTTTTAATATCTTTTAAATATAATTAATGGTTGATAAATAAAATTTTAATTTTTTTTAAAAAAAATTGACAATTGATTGGGCTCGATTGAGTTGTGAAAATTTTCGAGCTGGGTTAGATTATCCATCCAACCCACTCGAATTTAATCTTTAACCAACCCAACTCAAACCAGCCGAGGCAAGTTGCGGCAGGTTTTTCTGACCTTTAGCGCCATGAAAATGAGGGATTGCGCATGCAGCTGAGTGTCCCACGCTCTATAAGGAGGTAGAAATTTGGCCCCAAGACGCTGATTTTGTTCCTTTTGGTTCTGAAAAGCCTATTTACCTAAAGGGTCCATTGCCTAATCATCAAATTGCCCACCTGTTATCATTTTTCCACTCTCATTTCGATTCACGAGATTCGTCTTGTGAAATTATTCAACGAGATGCGTACAATAGATGTAACAGTTCGAGACAATCGCTAATATATATTGTCTATTTTAACCCGTTACGTATCATCATCAAGCTCACGATTTTTAAAACGTATCGGTTAGATATACATTTTCACGCTCTTATAAGCTTCGTTATCCTCTCTCCAACCAAGGTGGGATCTCACAATTTATCCCCTTGAGGGCCTCCGTCCTCCTAGCACACTGTCTAGTGTCTAACTCTAATATAATTTGTAACAGCCCAAGACAACCGCAAGTAGATATTGTTAGATTTGGTCAGTTACGTATCGTCATCAATTTCACGATTTCAAACGAGTTTGCGAGAGAGGATTCCACTCCCTTATAAGGAATGTTTTATTACCCTTTCCAACCGAGATGAGATCTCACAATCCATCTCCATTTAACTATAGCGTCCTCATTAGCACGTCACTCACTATCGGACTCTTATACCAATTGTAACAGCTCAAGACCACTACTAACAAATGCTGTCTACTTTAGCTCGTTATGTATCGTCGTCAATCTCATGATTTAAAATACTTGTGTTAGGGAGAGATTTCCATGTCCGATACCAATCAAAAAATGATAATAAAATTTATATCATTATACCCATCTCTATCTTTATCGAAAAATCATTCTAATGTCAAAATTATTTATATTTCAATACAATTTACAGCTCAAATATAATTTATTTATCATCCATTATTTAATATTTTTTTAAAAAAATATTAAAGTTTTAAGATTAAATATATAAACAAATCTATTGGATTTCAAACATAGTACGATTAATTCTACTATTAAATTAAAGTGAGCATAGCTCATCAGTAATTGCCGTTATCGTGTATTATATACCAATTGATCAAAGATTCGAACCCCTCAATTCAAAATACTGTTGAGCTCGAAAAATTTGAGAAATTAAAACAAAACGACGTAATTTTAAATAGTCGCTCAACTAAACCTAATATTTATGGACCAAAGCAAATACTAATAATATTTTAAAAAGGAAAAAAAAAAAAAGTAAATGACAACAAAATTACACGAAAATTGTTAAGGATATGGATGACGGTGCATTATGTGTTGTACAATGGGCTAAATTAGGAAACAAAAAGACAAGAAAGCAGGCCTGGCCCAATTTTCAATGCCGATGGGCCCATCTGTACTCGTTGCTGTCTCTGGATTTGGCCCAATTACAGCCTCACGTTTTTTCCATTTTATTACGTCAGCAACAGTGCCCAACAACCTTACTCTAATAAAGCAATAATTTAATAATAATTATTATTATTGTTGTTGGATAAATTTGAACATTTAATTCAAAAGATATATATATATATATATATATATTTATTTATTTTCTATAATTTAATTTAGTTGTAGTTTGGAAAAGTAATAAAATGAATAGTTTCTAACGACTTAATAATTGAATAAAAAAATTTAAAAATCATAAAAGAAAATGTAAGTTAATATTTTAAAAAAATGGTGGAAGAAAATTATAAAAATTTAAAAAGAAATTAAAAAAAAAAAAGGAGGAAAAAAATCGTTGACATAGAAGGAAGATGGGACAAGAGAAAGGAAGATCCCCATGTGCGGGGGTTGAATGATCCAACGGCTGATGTGACAAGTACGGGGCGAGAGATGCACGGATAAGATCCTCTGTCAGTGCCACGTCGTTTCAGCCTGGCCCACCATATTGTTTACTAAACTCTAAAATAGACGCTAAACCAATCACATGACCCCACGTGTCCAGGTTGATCAAAATACACTTTTTATCTTAAATTCATTAATCTAGTCAAATAGTTGTTATAACGTTACATTTACAGCATTTATAAGTTGGGTTTGTGATGTTTTTATGTTTTTTTTTAAAATAATTATTTCATTTTTTTTTAGCTGGATCTCAGATTCTTTTTTAAAATAAAAAATAAACATTACCACTAAATTTAATAAAAAAATTAACTCGATATGAATTTAGCTCGCATTTTTTAAAAATATAGTAAAAATCAGACAAAAAACGCTAAATTAGTTTCAAATTTTTTTTCTTCCCTAATTAAAAAATTAAACAAACCCGACTCTAAATTTTTTTTTTATTGTGTCATGGTCAATGATTAATGATTTATTAGATCTCGGTTAAAAAATTTATGATTTATTAGACATTTATTAAACCCATAACAAAATTTTATAAACTAAATTTANAGTTTAATATTTTTGTAAAAAAAAAAAAAAAAAAAAAAAAAAAAAAAAAAAAAAGTGAGAAGTAACTTAAATCTCAAAGAAAGTAACATGTGGAACACATATGGATCTACAATCAAACATATTTTATTTTATTTTTTTAATTTTCTAATATTTGAGAGTATATTAGATTTTTATAGAATTAAATAAAATTATAATGCATATATGTATATATAATTATATTGTTTCTTAAATTTATTTTATTTAAATTAAATAAAAAAACCAAAATATTCTTATATTTTTTTTTGTTAGCCACGCTATGATGGTGTGATAGCTTACTCGATCGATACAGATATTTTAGTTAATGAAACAATGTCTTGACAAGTTAAACTCTATTCATATTTTTTTAAAATTCACCGGTATTGAGAAATGGAGGATCAAACCTCCAGCATCTTAGTCGAGAAAATATATCTAAACTAGTTGAGTTATATTTATAGATATATGTTTAACTCATGGAGCTAAACCATATCTCTCTCACGAGACTGAAGTCAATGATCGTATTTCTCGTTTCTAACCTGGATCAGTGGACGAAGATTTAATAAATGGGACCGTGAGAAGATAGTGGCATTATTTATGAAAGGATGTTAGAGGTGATGAATAGAAGAATACAAGAATATAATACAATACAAAGCCAAAGACAAGAAAAAGTGGGTCCGAGGAAAATACAATTAATTAATTAGGTCCCGAGGCGAGTGGACCAAACTGGACACTACGGTTGGGCCGTATATGTTCCCCATTCACCCATGACTCATGATTCATGACTCGACTCGATCATATAAACTCCAAATTCGGTTCATTTTTCTCCCTCCAAACTCCCCTCTCCCCTCTATGCCCCGTCTCTTCTCCCCCCTTTTGACATCTCAACCCCCCACCAACCCTTTTCCATTCATCATTGTTTTCATCATCTCTATCTCGACTTACGTCCTGTACCTGGACAGGATGAGCTATGAGTACATATTGTAAGTTTGAATCTCCACCGTGTTTCAATTGTACTATCAATGTTTACGTTGTGAGCCTGAAAATTGCTTGTGAGATCCTCACACTAGTTGAAGATGGAAACAGAGTATTCCTTGTAAGCGTGTGAAAACCTCCTCCTAGTGGACATGTTTTAAGATTGTGAAGCTGACGACAGTACGTGAGCAAAAATGAAGGTTTAGGTTGTTACAAATGATATTAGAGTCAAACACCAGACGGTGTGCCAACGAGGACACTAGATTCCTAAGGGATGTAGATTGTGAGATCTCACATCGGTTGGAGAGATAATGAAATATTACTAATAAGGACATGGAAACTTCTCTTTAGTGAATGCATGACAATACGTAACGAGACAAAGTAGACAATATTTGAGATCTCACCTCGATTGTAGAGCAGAACGGAGCAAAACCTCATCCTAGTGGAAGTGGATGCTTTTAAAATTGCGAGGCTACAATGATAAGTAACGGGCCAAAGCAGACAATATCTAGTAGATATTGTTGTTTTGGAAATTTTACTTTTCTCATTTAGCTAATTTTCTTTTATTTTTTAATAGGTCGGAGATGATCTCAATAGATTAAATGGACATCTATAGCTATACTCGATCTCGAGTGTCGGGTGGTAGTGAAGGTTTATTTTAATAATGAAAAAGGGGGAAAAGGGCATGCAAATACCAAAAATATATTAAAAACACCTTGTCTCCATCTATTCTCCTGTCTCCTCTCTACAATTTCATTTCATTTTCTCCCTCTTTCTCTTCAACCACTAATATCTGCAACTCCCGCCGATGGTCGAATTTCCGAACGCCGCCGCCGCGGATGACGGCGATATGGACGACGGTATGAGGTGTAGTTACCATCCTTATCGGAGCAATCAAGGAGGGATTTGCGCTTTATGTCTCCAAGACAAGCTCGGAAAATTAGTCTCTTCCTCTTCAGCTCTTCCACTCCGACCTTCCTCTTCCTCTTCTTCCTCCTCTTCCTTCAGATCTGATTTCGCCACCGCTGCCGCCGGCGGGGGTTTTTCTGCTGCTTCGTCGCTTAAATTTCAGCCCGACAATGATCATCACGCGGCAAGGACTCGAATCCCTTTTCTGACGAAGAAGAAGAAGATGCAGCAGCAGAAGGTGGAGGTGGGTTTTCGCCGGAGTAAATCGACGACGGCTCCTGCGAGATGGAAATTAATGGAGCAGGATGACGGCGAAGTTTATAGCCATAAAAACAGAGGATGGATTTGGTCTCTGTTTGATCTCTCTACCAAATCCCATTCTTCGAGAAAAATCGATCATAGTTCGAAGATCGCGTCGCTTCCGACCACCACGATCGCCGCCGCGACATCGGTGAAGCAGAAGGAAAAATGTACGGAAACGTTTAAGGATTTCTCCAGCATAGTGGAGGAAGATGGCGGTGGTGACGACAGTCCGAATCGCAGTCAAGCCACCGCGTCGGTCTCGTCGTTTGAACAAAAGGTGTCAAGATCCAGATCCGTCGGTTGCGGAAGTCGGCGTTTCTCCGGCGACTTTTTAGAAAGAATCGCCGGCTTCGGCGACTGTACGCTGCGGAGAGTGGAGTCTCACAGAGAGGGAAAACCCAAAACAACCTCCACCGCAACAACCCCCGTGCAGGACGGCAGCGAATACCTCAAGGATCGAGTGAAATGCGGCGGTTTATTCGGGGGGTTCATGATTCAGTCATCGTCGTCTTTGTCTTCCGCTTCATCATCGTACCGGGTATCATCGTCCTCCGTCGAAGAGGGGAGGTTCTCGGCGTACGGACAGCGGCGGAGCAAGAACAGAGGGTGGGCATTTGGTAGCCCGAGGAGAGCCATGGCGAAGGCGTCGTCTTCTTCCTCTGAAGGAAAAAGAGAATCGTCAGAGAAAAATTCATCCACTCCAAATTTGGACGTCATTCCTTCATTTCTCCCTCTAAGAATCTGAACTCAAAATATCTTAACTTTTCTCTGCTTAGTTTCTGTATTTTTTTTTTTTTTTTTTACTTCATGTACTAAATATCAAAATAATTTTTTTTGGGTCTCAAAAATAAATAGATTTATTTTCGAATTACTATTTTAGTTATTCGAAATGCTTAATTAATAGACTTTCCAATCGAAAATATGATTATTTTAGTGATCTTTTATCATTATTAACTTTCATTATGAGATCAAGATATCGACATTGACATATAGATTAATTAGATGAGATCGATGTCTAGTAGTCTTTTTTTTTTTTATATATATATATATATTTGATAGTAATATGTATCTCTTATTAAATACTCGAGATCTCGAAACAATCATTCAAGGATTCATAAAAGTCTGATGTTTAGATAAAATTTTCAGCTTTTCATAATTTCTTTCAAATATAATGTCACACCTGGTACGAACTAAGGGTTATAAGTAATATAAAAATTATAATATGCTAGAATTAGTTAATTTATTCTTGTAATAGCAAGATTCCAATGCTCACGTGGGCCACATGCTGCGTATACTGAACAGATTTGGAGGACGTGCTGGGCTGGGCTCAACTATGGGCTCAGATCTTTCGGCCTTCTACGGCATTGGAGTTTAAAGCCATTACAAACTTGTCTAAATTTGGTAACTTACTCGTTGATGAACTTAGATAGTAGACAAGTGATTGATACTAGTATTATCATCAAATTCGAAAAGGATTTAACCATGTGAGGTATATAACGCATACATGTATGGACACCTAATGTTTCATGATGACTTACAGCCTTCAAAAACAATCAAAATATACATAAAACAAACTCAAATTCTTCAACAAAAAAGAATTATATCGATGAAAGAAGAGATGACCCGAAATTAGGGTTCAGGATTTGGAGAAGAAATGAGGGGTTGGGTTTGCGAGTCTTGTTCTTGTTGAGTTGGGATTGAGGTCTTCAATGGCAGTGGCTTGGCATTTCTGTAAACTCCATAGATAGCAATCTGTGCTAATCCCAACCCTAATCCTATCCCATTTGGAACCTGCACCAGTTTTCAAATCACTCGTTTTAATTTTCAGATTTTTAATCTAGTGAAGATTATATGAAGAACACTTACTGCAAGAAACCAATCGCTCAAGAGAAAAGCATAGAAAGTCCAGATTCCTCCATTCAAGAAAAAGAAGAACGATAGCATGAAAGGCATATACTCCACGCTTCTATTTTTTATCACCGTTTTCTGCAATCAACAAAGATTCAATTTCTAGAAACTAAGAATTAAAAAGGAAAAGAAATAGTTGGAAAAAAAATAGAGAAAAGTTCATATTTATGGGAAAGAAAACACAAGGTTGGGTCCTACACAATAATGATTTCATAGCTGCAGAATTGGGAACGGATGGATGAAATTAATTAGACATATCAATAACAGTGTTTATCAATCATTACTTGATTTTCCTCCCTCTTACACGTGACTCTATTTTCGTCCTTAAATTAGTTTTTTGGATAGTTTTTCTTGGTGAAGGGTGGAATTTCGTACGTAAATTTCTAATTATTCTATTTTTTAAGTAAGGCAAGAAATATAAAGATCAAAATTCAAAGCAATAACAGAGCCAAGAAAGTTGAAGCTTATTGGACCGTTCCGTAAAAGGACAGACAGAAAGCTTAAAGTTGCAGCACGACCTTACCATGACAGAGAGCGGCGAGCCGTACATAATGATATTAAGGCCTGCACAAACTAACCCAAGGGCTCCAATACGCGTTTCACCGTGTAACAGTAATTGACTCACCACAATCGCAGTCGCAAAGAAGCCGATATCCAGAATCCCTACCATAATTCCAGTCTTCGTCTGAAAATTCACAACCGACACACACATACACACAAAATCCATCAATCTCGATTAGTCAGTCAGTTAGTCAATCCATCAATCCATGGATCGATCTCAGTTTCTCAGAGTAATCGCATAAATATTGACTAAATATCTTGAAGTTCAACAACTGACCTTCATTGCCGACGGTGCGTAGATGAGGAAAACGCCGAGGAAGAAAGACTGTACAACGACGCCAAAGGAATTTACGGTGGCGACTAGGTAGGCGCCAGGCTTGATAACACCATAGTAAGTCCAGAGAGAAGAGTTCAGCCAAGTGCAGACGTACGGAAAGCTCTCGAACTCCTCCGTCGATTTCTTCTTTATAATCCGCCAGAATGTTCCGCTGCAACATTTCACAATCCATCCATAAAATATTCAAGATCGAAAAATTAAAATCCAGATAAGATCAAAGTCAAGGATCTTACACCGGAGAAAGGAACATAAGAACGGAGATGACGTTGCCTGTATACAAAAACCTCCATCAGAATCATCATCAATGGCGAATAAAAATCGAAAAAGTGGAAGAGAAGGCTAACCTATTACGCCGACGAAGAAGCTGAGTTCCGCCATGGTTGCTTGTTGAGAGAAGAAATGATGTGGTTTACAGTTGAGAACGATGAGGTACCTTTAATAACAAGCTGTGTGCTTGTGGTTCTCATGGCTTTTTTTTTTTTTTTTTTATCTGTAAAAAAAAAAAATCGAAAATCGTTTTCAAACATGTGACATATACATTCATTATAATTATTGTTTATTTTATTAAAATATATATATAAATATATATAGGCCGCAGAAAATTTCAGCCATATTATTGCGGAGATTTTTTTTTTCTAACGTTGTCATATATTTTGAAAGTAAATAAGAAATAAATAAATTGAAATATTATCCGAAGGATCTTAAAAATATGATAATTAAAAAAAATAATACAAATAGAATAAAAAAATTTAATTATTTATCATTTTATATTATGACTTTAAAAACCAATATTTAGATTTATTAAAAGAAATTAAAGCGTGCTTAGAAAATAATGATTTATGTAGGGACATTGAATTTATTAAAAAAAACAAAATAATAAATAATTGGTGGGATTTGGTGAGTAAAGATATTAATTTTAATTTTATAAAAATAAATTTACTTAGAAATATATATATAAGATGTAGGTCCCACAAATTTTTGAAAAGGACAAAAAAGGTCCCCACGACTTTATGTTTGTCTAATAGTAACTTTTTATTAAAGATTATTGAAAGTAAGTTTCACATTCGTTAATTATTACGATAATTTAAATAATTCTTTTTAAATTAAAAAAAGAATACATAATTTAAGATAAATGGTGACTTAGACTATTCAAAATTAATATGATTTTCAAATTATTTAAATAGTCTATTTTATATATTTTTATTTAAAAAATAAAAAGAAAATCATAAAATGAACTTCCAAGCCACTTATTATAATACATATTTATATACAATTTGAAGGATCGTGTCGATCTGTATATTTATATATAAAAATCTTCGAGGGATGGTATCGATCTGTACACAATTCAATCCACTGCCAATTAACTATTTATAATAATTTGTTTCATTGTCATTTAGGATTTATGACCAATTATATATATATTTTTCTACATTATTGAATAAATTAATCAATTATTTAGATAAATATGCTTATTGAGTATTTTTTATGATGGACATGTTTCAAATTATTTAAAATAATATTTTATAAATAATTAAAATACTTATTATTAATAATATATTTACATTATTTAAATTTTATCTATTTTTTTATGACATAATATTGAGAGGGATGTATAATATTTTTATTTAATTGGAATTTTGGATATTTTTAAAATTGTGAGATGATAATTGAACCACAAGAAATAGTGGAGTCCAAATACGACACGTTGGACAGCAAGCCAACGTCACTATTTCCGTATAGAAATATTATTTATATTCTTTTTTAAATGGAGAAACAAGAATTATGATAATAAATAAATAGATGGAAAAAGTAACAATAATAAAATTTAGCAAGTATAATGGTCTCTCTTCGCACCTTCCACCTTTAAAATATTTAACAAAATAAATAAATAAATAATATATATATATATATATATATAT